GAGTTGACGGCGATGAATGTAATTACTTTGGAGGATTCTAATAAAAATCCTGGCTTCGAGCCAATGAAGTTGGAGGACTTGCGCGTGATATTCATTGGAATGAGTATATTGATGTCGTTGAGTATATTTGTTTTCGTATTGGAACTCTGCTGGGAGAAAATAAGAAAATTTGGACGCTCAGCTGTTTCTGCAATAAAATTAATTTGGAATTTGGTGAAAATTCCATGTTGAAGAATTTTTGTGAATATGAAGTTTTTGATTTACAAAATAAGAGCACAAATATATGTATGTTTGCATGTTTTAGCATAATGTCTATTGTCGTTATTAAAAATAATAAATTTTCAAAATCGGTTTGAAGTATAAAATTACATTACTTGCTGATGATGCCGAAACCTGTATTTTTTCCAAAGAAGAAAGGTTAACCTCAAGTCTGTGAAAACTGCTGCAAGATAAGCCTTCAAAGTACTGTATATGTATAAGGTTTCTTCGATGAGTCCGAGCGAGTAAGCGAAGCGCTTCACTATACAGCTAATTTAAGCTAGTTTCATAGAAGGGGAGGAGAGCCGGAAATACTTTGTTTAGTCTGACACGAAAGTCTTGCAAACAAGTAATTTTTAAAACAAGTATTTAAAAAAATAAAACTGAAAAAAATTCAAGATTATCGCCAATTTCTTCAAGATCCAATGTTCGGATCTAACCTCGAGATTACCCCTGAAGAACAATCTTTCCTTAAAAAAAAAAGAATTACAGAAACCCGTCTACGTGATCCAAAGTTATGCGGTAACATACATAAAAAAAAAATATTTCGACGAATTGATAAGCTCTCCTTTCTTTCAAGTCGCTTAAAAACTCCGTTGCCAATTTTCATGGTGAAAGCGCGATTTATGTTGTTTTGCTCTCGCAAATATTGGCATTCACGAGATCCGAGGTGCGAGTCCTAGGCCAGTGGATTTTTTCTTTTATTAATTTATTTATTCTTATTTTTTTAATTTAATTTTCTATCAGTTTTAGATTTTATGGT